TGGTCTGCAGCAAGCCCGAAGATGAAGTGGGCAGAGAGACGAAGCTTAGCCACAGCGATAGGGTAGAGGCGGCCATAGTCGCCGTAGATGTAGTTAGTGTTCAGTGTGTGTGTGTGTGAGTGTTCAGAGAGACGCGTGTGGGATATCCAGGGTGATCCACTGTATGCGAACAGAGAGTTGTATGGGCGTTATATCGCCATGGCCATTGAAAGTGAACTCGTATCTGGGTTGCCATATCTCTGAGTACTGAGTGGGCGCATGTCGTGAGTTTGCTGCGCTACGGTTTGCATGCATGTAAAGTGTGAATGAAAGCAAGTCTGATTGCATTGGTATCGGAGATGGTACCAGCTGTTCCACGCCCCGCGTTGTGTGTCGCAGGGAGTGATGCGCCATAGCAAAGTGGCCGATGAATAAGAAGTCCGCCATAGCGGACACCGAGGTTGAAGAAGCCGCCGCGCGCACCTGCCGAGAAGACCATGACGAAGAAGAAGACGGAGAGAGAGAGAGAGAGAGAGAGGATGAGCGATACAAGATTGGCTTACCACGTTTCTGCGTCAAAGACATCGCTACGGCAAGAGAGAGAGAGAGAGAGAGAGAGAGAGAGAGAGAGAGAGAGAGAGAGAGAGAGAGAGAGATGAGCGATACAAGTTTGGCTGTCACTTACCTGTGAAGCGAGTTGTGCATTTCCACGAAGGAGGAAGAAAGCGGCCATAGCCGCGGAGTACCACCACGGAGTACCGAAGGAGGGAGAAAGACCGGACGAAGGGGGAGAGACCGAGAAGGGAGAGAAGGAAGCCATAGCCGAAGGGAAGAAGAAGAGGTGAACAAAAAAAAAAAAAAAAAAAAAGACAGCGGGGTGAAAGGAGGCGAGGGAGGTGAAGCGAAGAAGAAGGTTGGCGAGGAAGAGGAGCCGGCAGCCATAGCCGACCGGGGGTGTTGACCGGCGGTTATCGGAGTTGACCGGGGGTTGACCGAGGGTTGACAGCAGCATTGACCGGCGTTGACCAACGCGGTTGACCAAGACTTCGACCAAGCTGGAGTTGGTAACATCTCGCGAAGCCCTTAGCCTACCCCTTGCCCTATGGATGTGCACCTACCCCTTGGTACTTGCTGAGTACAGTCTGTCTGTCTATTCTTTCTGCATYGAGTCTCTTCTGTCCTAGGTGATAGTACTCTGTGGATGAAGGATAGGGCCTGTATGACGAAACCCCTATCTGACTTAGTAGAGCTGATACCGTGTCTAATCTCACTGTCCCAGAGGCGTAACCCTCCCAAGGACCGGTGCTGACCGGCGGGGCTCGGATTGGGCGTGACACGGTGGGCTTGAACAGCGGAGACGTGGGCTGACACAACAGGCAGTCTTGAGTGTTGAGGGCCTTGTTGACCCAAACCCCTACCGGACCTAGTAAGGCTAAAGGTCGTTTCTGACGACTCGACTGTCCCGGAGGTCAAACCCTCCCAAGGACCGGTATTGACCGGCGGGCTTCTCGGTGTGGCACGGTAGGCGCGAAAGGCTGAGTTGTGGGCTGATGCAACAGGCCAGACCAAAGCTGATCACGTTGTCCTGTCTGCGACGTTAAAGAATTCTTGCGGAGTTTGGGGGATCTCCTTAAATGCCTCCTGATCAGCAAAAGGTCTAGTAGTGACAGCCATAGTTAGGTCTAGGCTAGAGACCATAGTTGACAGGATCCTTGTCAGGATTCTGTGAGTCCTTAGGTTGAGTCAGTAGGTCTGTCAGTCAGGGGTTAGAGTCAAAGTGGTGAGGTTTGGAACCGCCACCCGGTTGTGCACTTATGACCATGGTTGAGACCCACGGTGGGACGAGCAGTAGCCCCTACACCTAGGAGCAGCAAGAGAAGATGGCTGCCATAGTGAGAGAAAACAGAGAGAGGAAGGAGCTCCTTAAGCAAGCGAAGTTGAAGACTATCGCAGAGGAGCAGGCGACAAAGATGAAGGAGTTGGAGGAGGAGATGGAGAAGAAGAAGAAGGCTGCTGAAGAAGAAGCGGCAGCAGAAGCGGAGGAGGAGAGAAAACGAAAGGGAAAGGAAGCAGAGAGCAGTGGCGCGATGAAAGAAGAAGCAGAGATGGAGAAAAAAATAAGTGAGTGGATTGCTAATTTATCGTTGGGGGAAGATAAGGAGGCCGAGTTCTATGTCCCAAAGGACGAGAGGGATGTGTTGGCCAGCGAGCTAGCAGCGATGGAGGACGCTCTGGAACGAAGGGAAAGAGAAGAGGAGAAGAAATTAGAATGGAAGCTGAGGATGAAGAGAGAAGAAGAAGAGGAGGGAGGAAGTTAATAGGTTGACCACGGAAGTGGCGAAAGTGCAGGATTGTAGGCGAGAAGTGGGAGCACAGGCAGATATTTCTGCCAAGATGGACAAGATGTTGGGTTACCTGGAAGTGTTGAGTTCAGCCTAGATGGAGGAGCGCCAGGCCAGTTGGAGTCAGGAGGTAGCCCTGGGTGCCATGCGGTCGGGATTTAGGGATTTTGCGCGCGATATGGTTACCCACGTTGGAGGGGAAGTTAGGAGATTGAGAGATAGCGTGGGAAAGTTCTGTGAAGGCGCCATTGAAGGTGCCAAAGCCATAGCCGCAGTAGAGGGCGAGGCCAGACCCCGTAAGGACCCAGTGAAACTTAAGTTCCCAGATGCGTACAGGGGAAAGAAGGAAGAAAACTTTGACAACTGGTAAGCCAGTGTCAACAGTTATATTTATTTACAGCACATCCTGATTGAGGAGCAAGTCCTCGTGGCCTTCCAGGCCCTCAAGGATGAAGCGGCTAGTTTCGCCAGGTCTCTTGCGCGCGCAGCCGGTTGTGAAAACAACCTGGTTGCATATTCAAAGGTCACCCCTCTTTCCCAATTCCTCAAGCACCTCAAGGAGCTATTTGCTGACCCAACGAAAGACACTAGAGCCTCTGACAAGCTGCAAACGATCCACTCACGACAGTGGAGGAGTGCCAGGGCACTCAAGGGTACCATGGACGACTTGGTAGCCGTCCCAGACCATGGGGTCACTGAGACCCAATTGGTCCAGTTATTTTACCGTGCCATGCCAGAGGCCCTACGTGGGCATTTCTTTGACAAGACTGAACAGGCCGACATCACCTATGATGCGTTGAGCAGGGAAGTCGTTCTATATGAGTCGAAGTCCACTCCAGTTACCACTTTCAGGCATAGGGACTTAGATAAGGGGAAGAAGTGGAAAGGCCGTACCATCTCAGGCCAAGTAAGGGCCAAGGATCACATGATCCTTACTCTAGAGGAAGGTGGTACTGATGAGGTCCCATACAGTCAGATTGAGTGGGGCCTAGAGGAGGAGGACAGTAGTATGGGACAGGGGAGGTCTTATGCTACTGTCGCGGCTGGAGGGAGGCCGCAAGGTAGAGGAGGAGGCCAGGGCCAAAGGGGCCAGGCCGTGGGAGGACGAGGACCGGGCGCACAGGGGGTTGGCGGACAGGGAAACCGCCAAGCGGGAGGTAGGGGTCAAGGTTCCCTGTCAAATCGCCAAGGTTCCAGTCGGTCCCCACAACAACGAGGTGGTAGGGCACCTCAAGGAGGATGGCATCCAGGCTTGCCACAGGGCAGGCCCTGGGAAGATTTGGGCTTGGACCAGGGTTTATGGCAGGAACGCGTGAACCTGGGTCAGTGCGTGTTTTGTGGTGACCCGGCTCACGTTATAAAATTATGTCCTACGTATAGACAGGCCCGTTGGGCTGCCCAGCAATCAAATGGCAGCCGCCAGTAGGGGTTGCAACTGCCCCTACTTCAAGGCCATGTGGAGAAGTGAGCGCGCGCGACCAAGACACTCCCAACCCACATGAGCCTATGGCAGAGGTTGCAGGCCCGTGCCTAGTTAGCTGTCCAGAGACTGCTTGTGTTAGCGTCTCTTTAGGCACGTCCCTCACAGGTGTGGCAGAAGAGCTAAAGGAGAGGATGCCAGCCTGGGCCAAGATGAAGAAAGAGAGTAAGGGACAACTGGTTTTGGTATATGAAGAGGTTTTTAGGAGTAGAGTAGGGGCCCTTATAGACTCAGGGGCCACCCGTAGTTACATTAGCCGCAGAGCGCTGAAAAAGTTGAGGCTAGGACTAAAAGTACAGAAGTTAGTAGACCCCATAGTCAGTGTCCTCGCAGACAACCGCACAATGCGTGTTGAGGACTAGTAGAGGGAGTCCAGGCGTACCTTCGCCTAGAGAAAGATGGGAAGGTGGAGAAAGTTCTCCATTCCCTGACTCTCCTCGTGCATGATGACCTTCCTTTCGATGTAGTATTGAGAATGGATTGGGGAGAGGCAGCAGGAGCCACACTCCACTTGAGAGAGCATGAGTGTAGGCTCCCTAGTCCATCAGGCGATGTTAAGACCGCCTGCCTGTTTCATGTGTCAGGTGTAGATAACACCTTGGCACATTGTTGTCTCACTGCTCCCGCGTTCGCGCGGTTAGTGAAGAAGGAGCGATTACAGGAACAAGTCTTTGTAGTTTATGTCAGGCCTGTCACTGAGGCTAAGGAAGAAGTGATTTCCACAGATCCAACCATCACCAAGTTGCTGGAAGAGTTCAAAGACTTGATTGAGTCGCCGACAGGTGTAGTGCCGCGACCCATCCAGCATAGGATAAAGATAGAGCCTGGCAGTAGAACTCCTAAGGGAGCAGTCTACATGATGTCCCCTAGAGAGTTAGAGGAGCTGCGCAAACAGTTAGATGATCTCCTTGAGAAAGGTTGGATCAGGCCCAGTTCGTCTCCTTTTGGAGCACCAGTGTTGTTTGTTCACAAGAAGGAAGGAGAGCTTCGTATGTGCATAGACTATAGGGGTTTGAATGTTATCACAGTGAAGAATGTTGGACCGCTGCCCAGGATTGACGATCTCTTAGATCGAGTGCAGGGTTGCAAGTATTTCTCCAAAATAGACCTGAAGTCCGGTTATCATCAGATAGAGGTCCATCCTGATGATCAGTACAAGACTGCATTCCGGACTCGTTATGGGCACTATGAGTTTATAGTGATGCCCTTTGGACTAACCAACGCGCCAACTACTTTTCAGCGTTGTATGAATGACCTGTTTAGACCATGGTTAGACAAGTTTGTCGTAGTCTATTTAAATGACATATTAGTTTTCAGTAAGACCCTCCCGGAGCATCAGGGTCATCTGAGGCAGGTCTTGGAGAAGTTGAGAGAGTCAAACTTCAAGATCAACGCGAAGAAGTGCGAGTGGGCCAAGACACAAGTCCTGTACTTGGGCCACGTATTAGACGGAGATGGCATTAAGCCAGAGGACAACAAGATAGCGGCGATTAGAGACTGGCCAACGCCCCGCACATTGACAAAGTTGCGGTCGTTCCTAGGCCTAGCCAACTACTACAGAAAGTTCGTGAGGAACTTCTCCACTATCGCCGCTCCTTTGCGCAGGTTGCTAAAGAAAGAAGCAATCTGGCAATGGGACAGAGACTGTACGTCTGCGCTCAAGAAGTTGAAGCACGTGTTAATAAAGTATCATGTCCTCAAAGTAGCTGATCCGTCCTTGCCATTTGTCGTCACCACGGACGCAAGTCAGTATGGGATAGGCGTCGTGTTGCAGCAGGATGACGGCCATGGCTATAGACCCATAGAGTTCATGTCCGCGAGGATGCCCTCAAAGAAGGTAGCCACCTCGACGTACGAGAGAGAACTCTACGCTCTCAGGCAGGCTCTAGACCATTGGAAGCATTACCTGCTTGGGAGGCACTTCAAAGTGTATTCTGATCATGAAACCCTTAGATGGTTAAAGACCCAGGCCAAGACGACACCTAAGCTAACTAGGTGGGCCACAAAAATAGACCAATATGACTTCGAGCTTAAGCCAGTGAAGGGCAAGTACAACGTAGTTGCAGACGCTCTGAGTAGGAGATCAGACTACTTTGGAGCCATAGTACACTATCTGGACATAGGGAGAGACCTGCAGGAGAAAGTGAATCAAGCATATGCGCAGGACCCTATTTATAGCGACCTCCTAAAGGGAGTTAGAGAGGCCCCAGAGACTGAGCCAGATTACCGCACTACAGACGGGTTGCTGTTTGAGAAGACTAATGTGTTCGACCGCCTGTGCGTTCCCAATAGCGAGGAGATCTGCAGCCAGATTTTAGGGGAATGTCACGACACAGAGGGGCACTTCGGTTGGCAAAAGACTTTAGCCAACCTGATGCGTGCGAACACCTGGCCAGGGATGAAGAATGACTGCATAGAGTATGTCCGAAGTTGTAAAGTGTGCCAGAGGAACAAGTCTACTACACGCGTGCCCCTAGGTCTTCTCAGACTCTTGCCTATTCCGGATCAGCCGGGAGACTCAGTGTCCATAGACTTCATGGATACCCAAGTCAAGAGCAGACATGGTAAGAGCCAAGTCATGGTCATAGTTGACCGTTTTAGTAAGTATGCTGTGTTTGTTCCCTTGCCTGCAGAGGCACATACAGATTTAGTGATACAAAAGTTTTTTGACTTTTGGGTTAGCGAGAATGGAATCCCATTGTCAATAGTTAGCGATAGAGATAGTCGCTTCACCAGCCAGAACTGGCAAGAACTCATGAGAGTCTACGGATCTAAGTTGTTAATGTCGTCCGGCCGCCATCCAGAGACTAACGGTCAGACTGAACAAATGAATAAGATCCTACAGCAAGTTCTGCGCATGTACATTAGACCAGACCAGATCAACTGGGATGAGATGTTGCCTAAGGTAGCTAGTGCATACAACAACAGCGAGCATTTATCCACCTGCCGCACTCCCAATGAGCTGCACAAGTCCTTTAGACCATGCAGACCATTCGAAGGACTGAACCGGGATCAGATTCACAGACTACCGCCCGGTACTAGGGAGTTTGCAATACAGCATGAGAAAGAATTAGCAACTGTTGTTGAAAACCTCAGGAAGGCCCAGCACAGAATGATAGAGTAGGCTAATAAGCACCGCCGCCCTTCGCAGTTTCAGGTAGGCGACTTAGTATGGGTCAAGGCTTAAAGAGTTTGCACCTGAGGAAAACATCTCACAGAAGTTACTGCCTGCATAAGATGGACCGTCCTACACCGTAGAAATCCCATTACACCTCCACACATATCCTGTGTTCCACGCTTCAAAGCTGTTGCTGTGTGTCACAAGCCAACAGTTCCTTTCAAGACGATCTATGATTCCTCCGGATATGGACGGAAGTTATGACATTGAAGGTATTGTAGACGAGGATGTGTTTAACAGGAGGTAGAGGTCGTCCCCAGAAGCAGTATAAGGTCCGGTTTGCCTATCAAGAACCGGAGGACAACCGCTGGTTCACCAGAACAGAACTTCTAGAGACAGCTCCCGACATAGTCAGAGCATATGAGCGTGACAGAAAAGGTAAAGGTCCCGCCTTGGACTAAGATCTTCTCGGAGGACCTCGAATTTAGGACGGCGGAAGTGAAACGGTTTTCACCTCTCAGCAGTAGCAGATGCAGTACCCAGGGTTCGATCCCTAGACCTCGCCTTCCCAATGTACAGTACCCGTGTAGACCCCGAGAGTCGAACCTGTGACCTGTGTATTTGTAGACAGTTGATAGGTCTGTCGTAGGTCCGTAGGTAGCAGGGGTTTGATCTGTAGATCTATAGAGTAGAAGTCTTAGTGAGTCCAGAAGCTTAGCTGTAGTCCTTCTAGAAGGTAGGCAAGTGGGCAAGTGGGCAAGTGGCGAAGCAAGTGGTGGACTAAACTGCAGTGCAATTGCAGTACGTCGTCGGTAGGATAGCAGTGAGTCCACAGACAGTCAGCGGTAAGGTCCAGTCAGTCCCAGTTCGGTCCAGCAAGTACCACGGGGGACTGTGCACACCATGGGCCGATGGCAAAGGGCAGACCAACGAGTTTTCGAAGTATAAATCAAGGGGCAGCGCCCAGCCTTTCATTCATTC